GCACGTGGACTGGAAATATACCCGTTTGTGGTAATCATACACTTATTTAAACACTTTAATTGCACGCAAAATAACATTATCTTTTTTGTCGTCACTTTAAATGCCGGCATTTTTTATATTAAACTCAGTAAACGATATTTCATACAAAATAAATTTAAAATCTTTGATCCGTAAAACAATTTGATATATTGTATGGTTTGATGAATGAATTGCGACCTTAAAAGTCCTATAATGTGTTTTGTGTTTATTTTATACTCTTTTATTATGTCTTTTAGTGTTGAGTTTAAGAGTTTTTAAAAGTTTTATAGTATTTCTGAGCCAATGATTAATAAAAATACAATTTAAGAAAACAAAAACAAAATTCAATTATATTTGAGAAAATGATTTGAAAGAGTTTTATATGAAAAACACATTCATTAGCAGTTCAATGAAGTGATGATAAAAACATTTTATAAAAAAATTAAATGATTTCTTCTTCCGATATGAATTCAAATCAAACGAATCATAACTTTATTATCATTATTACAATCAAACCATAAGACACAACATTATCGCCGGTCGGCTACACGTCGTCGTCGGAGGCGTTGTCCTTATATCCGCCCGAACTGGCCGTTGACGGCAATAAGAGGTCGTGTTTTTACAGCAATCGCCGAAAGCCCAGGTGGTGGAGGATGGATATGGGCACTCCTCACACCGTCATCTCAGTCTCCATTACTGTCCCCTTTGCCAGTATGTCAGCCATTATTCACATATAATTGATAAACATTTTCAAATTAATTTACTATCTATTTGTGTCCATTATTTCAGGCTCTGAACATCACTTCACAATATATGTGATTGAAGTGAACGACACGACGACTGCCACCAAATACCAGAAGTGCGCCTCTTTTAGGGGTATCTTCTCGTCGCAGACAATGGTCTTGAGTTTATTTCAGGCTCTGAACATCACTTCACAATATATGTGATTGAAGTGAACGACACGACGACTGCCACCAAATACCAGAAGTGCGCCTCTTTTAGGGGTATCTTCTCGTCGCAGACAATGGTCTTGAGTTGCGGTAATCTGAAGGGAATCATCGGATCTGTGCTTCACATCGAAGACAATTCGCAACATTTGGATCACTTTGGCTTATGTGAAGTCGAGGTTTTCGTCCGCAAAGGTATTCAAACACTCGTTTTGAAGTTATTTGACTCAATATTTGATGATTAAAAATGTATGTTTATTTGATAGACTACTACGAGTGCGGACAACCGGAGATCCCAACCAACTCTTATATGTTAGACAAACCGAGTCATATCGTCACTTATGGCTGTCATAACGGCTATAAACTCGAGGGCTCTAACCAAAGGTCGTGTATGAAGACCGGCCAATGGACTGGCAGTCAACCCATCTGTCGGGAAATCAATTGTCCCAAACCTATCCCTATAGACAACGGCAACTACAGGCTTAGCGGCCAAACAAATGATAGGCCAGCGCTGGGCAGTAGAGTGGTCTACACCTGTCAACAGGGATATACAACTCTGGGAGCAAATGATACCCAATATTGTCAAGAGAATGGCACGTGGACTGGACTACAGCCCGATTGTCACCGTAAGTACAACTCATTACTTAGGTTTTTGTAAATATATTTGCTATTCACTTATTAATTAATATTTTAATTGTTAATAAAGCCATCGATTGCGGTCTTCCTAACGATAACAGCGAGTATTTGGGCGGAAGATTCAAACTATTGAATACATCCACTAAATATGCATCAATGGCTGAACTGATCTGTTTTAGTGGCAAAATATCGGGTCTATTCATTCGTTGCGGCGAAGATGGCTTGTGGTCAGGACTCGACTCCACTTGCATTTACAATAAAGGTTTGTATACAGTATTACCATTATTTGAATTTATAAAACTTTTCAATTAATAATAACATCTCATTTAAACACAATAATTACAGTGAATTACTATACGGCCAATGCATCAGAAAGTATTGGACAGAAAAATTCAGACATAAGTGTGTCGGCAATATTGGCGACGGTTATTGTGGCCGTACTTCTCATACTAATTGTATTAGTCTTCCTATTATTCAAAAAGTAATTTTTATTCAACTCCATTATAATTAAAATATTTTACTAATATTTAAATTAATTTAAAAAACTTGTGGCAGAAAAATATTGCACATAAAGTGCTCGACACCGGCGCTAAACATAGTGGGCAGTCGACGGACCTCATGGGCTCTGGAAGCGCTGCGATCAACAAATCTTCAGCTGAGAAAACCGTTTAGATTTCAGAGCAATACTTCTGTCAAACAGGAAACTAATAGACATCCGATTCAGTCGTCCATTAAAACTGTTTCGTCAAACTTAGAGAATGTTTACGAAGAAATTGCTAACTTTTCTTCAAATCCCATCTCAAGTAAATTTATTGCATTTTATTTATTTAATACTTTTTAAAATAATTACTAATTTTTTAATTAATTAAAAATTGATTATTAGATGAAACAGAAGAGAAAATCCGAAGAGCGGCTATAATAGCGGCCGAATTGGCTGCCATAA